TATTTTTTTATTATCTTTGTTTATGACTAAGTTTGAAGTTTGCTGATGAATCAAGATCAGCCCTGAAGTATAAATTTTGCTGTTGGAATACATGCTGAGTTTATGAATTTGGCAGATTTAAGATAAAGTGTGATTAGACAACAAAAAGACAGGTGTCTTTTTTTAAATAGACTTTTGGGTTTTTTTTAGAGCAGCTTTAGGTTCACAGCAAAATTAAGCAAAAGTGTAGTTCACATATACTTCCTGCCCCTACATAAACACACTCTCCTCTGACATCAGCATCCCACACACAGTGGTGCTTTTGTTAAAATCGATGAACCTTCACTAAAACATCATTATCATCCAAAGTCTATAGTTTGACATTAGGGTTCACTCCTGTGGTTGTATATTAAATGGGTTTTTCACAGATTTATAATGACAGGTATCAACCAATTTTGTATTATAGAGAATAGTTTCACTGCCCTAAAAAATCTTTTGTGTTATGCTTGTGCATCCCTTCCCATCCCCCTAACCCCTGGCAGTCACAGCTCTTTTTACTAAGATGCCTTTCTTTTGCTAGGACTTGTGGCAAATACATGTTAGGTAGGTACCTTAGTGTTAAAGTGTGGAGAGATATTTGAGAAGCAGGTGATCATCTGTAGGTGTCTTTTAGCTCTGACCTTGAAAGACCCATTTGGGGGCTAGAGATGGGAGAACTGACTTGGAACTGTGAATCACAAAAATCTGTTGGAGGAAGGAAATCTGCTTGTCCCAGTAAGTTTTTGGCATTGAAGAAGGGAAATAAATCACTATTCTATACACAGGATGTAACTTCAGTTTAAAATCTTTTAGTAGTGCTGAATTTAAAGACTTTTAATTGTAGGTAATCACTAAATGCTAATACAGTATTTACAGATATCCTAATGAAATTTACATACAATTCTCTTTTATTCAATTGCTTATTTCAGTGTTTGATGGAGTACTTTATCTATATTTAGTTCATATTTGTTAGATAAATCATCATGGGGAGTAGATGCAGGTGAATCACTCATTGTTATGCTCCATTATATCTTTGAAATCTATTTGCTACCCTTCCCTTTATTAGTCTGTAGACTGGAAATGGTGACAAATATGTAGTTCTGTCTGTTTGAAAGGCCCATCTTTGTCCATGCCAATAAACTGGGTCACATAGCGATTATAGCCAACTAATATAAGTGCATTTTCAAGTGAACAAAGGTTTTCTGCCCAGTGGGTTTTTTTTTTTCTTTCTAAAAACCAACTACTGCTTCCTTTAAAATAAGAACAAAACTATTTGTTGGTTTTAGCAAAATCACCAACCTCCACATTTGGTTATTGTGATATTTTAGCAGTTATTACTTTTGAGTTATTTTTTAAGTAAAGTGTTTTACTTGGTAGAACGTCATAATTTTTATGCAAGTTTTGTGCTACATACACTTACTCTTGAGTTGCTGGAGGTATTTCCCCAAATGAATTGGTTATTACATTTGCTTATAAACTAGGTAAGGGCAGTGCCAGGTGCAGTGGCTCATGCCTGTAATCCTGGTACTTTGGGTGGCTGAGGTGGGTGGATCACCGGAGGTCAGGAGTTTGAGACCAGCCTGGCCAACATGGGGAAACGCCGTCTTTACTAAAAATACAAGTTAGCCAGGCGAAGTGGCAGGCACCTGTAGTTCTAGCTACTCAGGAAACTGAGGCAGGGTAATCACTTGAACCGGGAAGCAGAGGTTGCAGTGAGCTGAGATCACGCCACTGCACTCCAGCCTGGGTGACAGAGTGTACCGCCTCAAGAGCGTCAAAAAAAAAAAAAAAGGTAAGGGCAGATGTAAGACTCCTGAGTAAAATTTTTAAATTTCATTCATTCAAGAAGTTTGAAGCACCTGCTAGGCTAGGTGTCAGGCATTATTCTGGGTGCTGGAAGACAGAATGGTCAACAGGATAATTGCGATCCTTACTTTAGTGGCACACACATTCTGTGGAGGGGGAGCTATGAGGTACACATTTAAACAAATGAAAAAAGGTTGTTTTAGGAATTGAAAAGAACTATGAAAAATCCTGTTTCATTAAAGTGTTAAGGAAGGGGATCTGTGATTTAGATTGAGTGGTCAGGGAGGGCCATGCTGAAGAGAGAACATTTGAGCTGAGGCCTGGATGATGGAGATGTAAGCCATGTGAATTTACGGGGATAGAGCATTCCAGATAGGGGAGGGTAACTCGGTCAACTTCACATTTAACTATATTATTTACTTGCTACTCTGTGGAGATTAGATTAGATTGGATTGGATAAAAGGACAGGAGTATTATTAATGAAGGGTGATCAGTTAGGTGCTGCAGTGTGAGATAAAATGGCAGTGATGACAGCAGGAATGTTATCAATAGAGATTAAGAAATGAAGAGAAATAAGGTGATTATTGATTAGATTTAGGGGTAAGTAAAAGACATATAGACATATCTCTCTATGTCAGGGACAGCCGACAGGTCTTTGCCAGAGCAGATTGGTGGATGGCAATGTCAGTACACAGCTGTACTGGTCAAGTGAGGATCACCATAGCATTTCAAGGTGAAAACAAAAGCTTCCTCTGTTGGATTGGTTATTTTGAAGTTACTGTTAACTTACTCCTATGGTGCTTACTAGGTAGCATGAATATTTCAACTCACTGAATCCTGATGACAACCCTATGAGGTAGGTACTGCTACTACGCCTGTTTTATGCACACCCCTTTTCCAGATTAGAAAACAGGCACAGAGAAGCTAAGTGACATGCATTGAGGCAGTTTTGCTCCCTAGTTCATGGTCTTAAACCACTAATTAAGCTTGGAAACTTAATCACACCATTTGCATTCTGTTTTGTCATTTATCTGCACTTACCTCATGAGACATTAATTTAGAATTTAACTATATTGCTACTTTTCCTGGAAAGTTCACATTTATATGCATTCAAATAGCATACCTGACTATTGCTGTATACCATTGATACAGGCAGTGATAATGTCCTTTTTAATTAAATATTGATTGCTTTTACTTCCAAAGATTCTCCTTTGAAGTGGCTTCCTCTTTATAATGCATTGTCATTGTTTGCAGCACATTTTGAAATAGTGCTGTTGACTTTGCTATGTACAGTTAAAGGTGTCTCGATGAGGTAAAGGCTCTGATAGTCTTTGCAAATCAGATAAGTGAGATGCTTCTTTTGTTAATAAGATTAAAAATCCACTAATGTGAATATATAATATTTGCTCTGTGAATATTGGTTATGTGGATAAGGCATTATTGAACTGCTGACTAATAATAATATACCATACCTCAGTGGACTGGCTTTTTCCTCAGAGTGGAAGGACAGTCATTGATTGCATTGAAAACAGTGGAATACTGTATGTGTCGTTAGAGTGTAAACTGATGCTTAGTAGACAGGCTCAAGGAGGGTGTCTCTTAGTAATTTTGATGTGGGACAAGGTCCCCAGGAGTAACTCGTTGCTACATGGATCAAGCAGTTGGTAGAGAAGAAAGGCAGACAAGATACATGTCCTCTGAAGCTAGGTGTTTTTTAAAGAGTAGAAACCTAGACTTTGGAAGTGTTTATCTCTGCTGTTTACATTTTCTGTACTTTGTCATCACTATTCAGTAAAGGTTACCTTATTTTAGTGTGTTGTGGTAACCAAAGGGAGGGTTTATATGACTGTTTTGGGGAGCTGTATAGTCTTAAATTGGTGGCTGTAGTGTTTGGTAAGAAAGAGCTTCGGTGGGAGATGAAATTCTGAGATACAAGTGCATCTCATTGACCATCCTTTACTGAAACTTTAATGAGGAGGCCATAGTACTAGGTTACTGTACTTATAGATTCATTATAAGTATCATTTTTGGAAACTTGTTAGAACCATAATTTTCCTCTTTAAGTCTCAGAATGAAAAACAACATAAACAGTTTTTTTTACTTTTTTTTAAGACTGAGTCTTACTCTTGCCCAGGCTGGAGTGCAGTGGCGTGATCTCAGCTCACTGCAATCTCCGCCTCCCAGGTTCAAGCGGTTCTCTCTCAGCCTCCCTAGTAGCTGGGACTAGAGGTGCATGCCGCCACACCTGGCTACTTTTTGTATTTTTCGTAGAGTTGGGGTTTCCCCATGTTGGCCTGGCTGGTCTTGAACTCCTGACCTCAGGTGATCTGCTTGCCTTGGCCTCCCAAAGGCCTGGGATTATAACCACTGTGCCCAGCCACATGAAAAATTTTAATATATGTTTTTAATCTTTGTAGAGTTATTTTCTAGGTGATGGTTACAGGGAAAATTGGAATCTGAAGTACCAGGTGAAATTGATTTTTCTCGTCTTTATCTAGTTTCTGTGTACATACGGTTGCAAAAGTTATTTACAGAATAATGCAGGGCTCAAAAACAGCTGCTGTTCACGTTTAGCCGTTAAGACTTCATTGAGATAGAGGCCATGTTTAGTATTATGGTTTATGTATAGTGGTGTATTAGTTCATTTCCATGCTGCTAATAAAGACATATTCAAGACTGGGCAATTTGCAAAAGAAGGAGGTTTAATGGACTCACTGTTCTATGTGGCTGGGGAGGTCTCACAATCATGGTGGAAGGTGAAAGTCATGTCTCACCTGATGGCATACAAGAGAAGAGAGCATGTGCAGGGAAACCTCTCCTTATAAAATAATCAGATCTTGTGAGACTTATTCACCATCATGAGAACAGCACAGGAGAGACGCTTCCCATAATTCAGTTACCTCCCACTGGATCCCTATCACAACATGTGGGAATTGTGGTAGCTACAATTCAAGATGAGATTTGGGTGGGGACACAGCCAACCATATCAAGTGGGAAATCTTATCAGCATTCTTTGTACTCTTACAGAGGGAGTGAGAAATCCAAAGAACATTGTAATGATCTATAATGGGGGAGGGGACAATTACTTATTTGAAATTTTGCTTTAGTTGTGGTCCTTAATGAAAATTTGTAATGTAGGGATTAAAGTAACTGATTTCTTTCTTTTTAAATTCTAGGTGAGAATTATGAAGATGATGACCTAGTAAATTCTGATGAGGTTATGAAGAAACCATGTCCAGTACAGATTGTTCTTGCTCATGAAGATGACCATAATTTTGAACTTGATGAAGAAGCTTTGGAGCAGATATTGCTACAGGAGCACATACGAGATCTTAACATAGTAGTGGTATCTGTGGCAGGAGCTTTTCGTAAAGGGAAATCATTTCTACTGGACTTCATGCTTAGATACATGTATAACAAGGTGAATAGTCTTTTAAATTGAACCCAATTAAAAACAAAAAAAGTCCCAACCAAGCCTGTTAAAAAAATAGAAAAAACCCAGAACTATATCTTTTTCTGTTTAAGTGGTCTCACTCTGTTTCCCAGGATGGAGTGTAGTGGTGTGATCACGGCTCACTGCAGCCTCAAACATCAGGCTCAAGCAGTCCTCCCAATTCAGCCTCCTGAGAAGCTAAGACTGCAGGCATATGCCACCACACCCAACTCTTTAAAAAAAAATTTTTTTTTTTTTTTTTTTTGTGGTAGAGATGGGGCTCTCACTTTGTTGTCCAGGCTGGCAGAACTGCATTTTTAATTTTATAGAAATATAATTCTTTATAGGAATTCCTGGTCAAGCTAGTAATGTGAAGTTAGAGCTCTTCTTAATCACCATAATTCCTTTCTGCACACTACGTATGGAAACATAATCGAGCATCTATGTTCCAGGCAATGTAGCTCTAACTCAAGTTGTCTGAGTATAACCTGAAAGTCTCTGAAGTGCTATTTATCTTCTTTCCCTTTTTGTTATTTCTTCATACTTTCCTTCTTGGCCACCTTTATAGTGAGCAAAGTAGAAGGATAAAGATCTTTGAAAAAGTATATCTGTGTTCCTCAAACAAGTCACTTTTAGTGACTATTACTTTTTGAGATGAAGTCCAGTTTCTTAGAGCGGCTTCTACAGCCATCTGTGATCTCTGAACCTCATTTCTTGCCCTTCATATGTCAAATAAACTATAGTTTTTGCTGTTCCCTGAGTATGCCATGTTTTTTCTCAAATATTATGGTATTCTTGGCTCATATTTTGATGGGGGACTTCCCTGACATCTAGAACGATATTATATCCTCTTCCTAACTCTCATGGTACATGTTGTATGTTTTATTGATGCTACTTTAATTGGCTGTTTTTTTCTGGCTGCTGTAATAATCTCTGTCCTGAGTGGGCCCTCTGTTGGTTATCAAGCACCTGCTACAACAGTTGGGTCTTAGGTGTTACTTACTATTTTAATTGATGAATCTCCTTCTCTTCCATGCATTTTCACTTTGAGACGGTACCAGACTTTGACTTTCTGTTCTGGAAAAAAAAAAAAAAAAAAAAAAAAAGCAAAAAAAATATTTTCACTTGAATTGGAATGTTTTTCTGATAATTGCAAGTTGGACTGAGGGAATGGAAGTTTGATAGGGAACAAGGAGAAGGAATTGGAAATTTTGGAGTGGAGCACTTAGTGGGTAGGGAACTTTTGAATTCAGAAGCCATGTGAAATTACTAGAAATACTTTGACAGAATTATATAATTGTCTAAACACCTGTGAGGGTGCTCACCTTTATGAATTCTGTGTAAATCTGTAATTGAGTGTGCATTCTTCTTGAGATAGAAATAAGGTAAACATTCTCAGTTGGTTTTCCAGGAAGCTTTTCAGTAGTCTTTTAATAGTGATCATTTCACATATTCTCAAATATGCCTGAGTATCAGGTTCTATCTCAAATAGTTTATATTAGAGAACAAATTTACATGTTTAGGACATTGAGAGAGAGATATCATTTTAAAGTTTTCCCATTGATTGAGACGTGATCTCACTCTGTCACAGAGGCTGTAGTGCAGTGGTATGAACATGGCTTACTGCAGCCTCAACCTCCTGTGCTCAAGTGATCCTCCCACCTTAGCCTCCCAAGCAGCCGGCACTATAGGCATGTGCCACAATGCTTGGCTAAATTTTAAATTTTTTTGTAAAGATGGGGATCTCACTATGTTGCCCAGGCTGGTCTTGAACTCCTGGCCTCAAATGATCCTCCCACTTCAGCTTCCCAACATGTTGGGATTACAGGTATGAATAAGTTTGAGCTCTTGATTCTTCATCACTGTAATTCCTTTCTGCATATACTACATATGGAAACATATGATTGAGCATCTTTGTTCCGGGAATGGAACATGCTCAGCTAAAGTTTTCCCATTTAGACTTGATCCAAAATTTTACATTTGAAACAGAGAAACGTATAAGTAGTGGCATACTCGTTTTTAAAAAAGACTACATTAAAGATGATAAAGGGTTTCTATATTTTCAGTTCCACTAAATCCTTAAGTTAGCCTGTGTATATTGTATCTATCTGTGTCTTAGCTGTTCAGTGCAAATGTAATTTGTTCCAAGTAGGTCACAGACAATAGAAAGTTAGAAGGAGAGGGAAACTTAGATCACTTATCTAGGAATGACAGATAAGTTTCACCTCAGGTGCCATTTCTGTTTCCATCTCTGATTGTAGTGGCTGTTCAGAGGGGAGTAGCAGCCCCCATTTGTCATGTATTTGTAATCTCAGCACAAACAGAACTCTTTTTCCTGGGGGAGTCGCAGAAGCCATGCAAAGGTTATGATGGCCTGAGTGAGGTTATACATCTAGGTAGAGGCTTCTAAGCTGAAATGTCTTTATTAGCTTTCATTTATAGTATTTCCCTATATATTATATATTTCCTGATATAAATCATCTTATTCTGCCAATCAAAAATTGCATTTAACTGGTATCTGATTTTTGGATAATGTGCCTCCACTTAAACTGATCATGTGGTAGATCATGCTTTTCCTATGAGATGAAAGTAAAGGAGAAATAATGGGATAGTTGGATTTATTTTATTAACCTGTATGCCTACAGAGGTGGGATGCTAGCTGAAAGAAGCAGAAGAGTAGTGACATACTGACAGTGTAAGTTTTCAAGGTTGACCTGAGTCAATGTATGTAAGTATGCAGTTGACGAAGGTGGTGAGTAGTTTTACAAGAGGAGATGAAAATCTGTAATCAAAGATAGAATCGGTGGGTTTGGTTGTGGTGTGAGGGGTGTTGGCTTTCCCCTCCTAAATAAATGTTATTCTCTCAAGTATTCTATGTCCCCTCACCACTTCTAATTCTTATTTGCTTATTTAGGGTTGTGCTTTAGATAAATATATCTTTTCCTTAAGATGTTTTTCCCTTGAAGTATAATTTACATACAGAAAGGTGCACAAGTCTTAAGTGTACAACCTGATGAAATTTTACATAGGACTACACCCTTACTACCACCACCCAGATGAAAATACAGAACAAACCTGCACGTTGTGTTCCTTCTCAGTTAGTATCTACCCCCCAAAAGTAACTGCTGTTCTGAACTTCTCACCACAGGTTCATTTCACTTGTTTTTGAACTTCACATGAATGAAAATCATACTATAGGTATTCTGTGTTTGGTTTATTTTGTTAACATTATAACTTTGAGATGTACCCATTTTTCTCCATTATTTTTGTTGCCTTAATGTTCTACTGTATGAGGGCTGGGCATGGTGGCTTACACCTGTAATCTCAGCACTTTGGGACGCTGAGGCAGGTAGATCACCTGTGGTCAGGGGTTCAAGACCAGCTGGGGGCCAATGTGGTGAAATCCCACCTCTACTAAAAATATAAAAATTAGCTGGGCGTGGTGGCGTGTGCCTGTAATCCTAGGGAGGCTGAGGCAGGGGAATTGCTTGAACCTGGGAGGTGGAGGTTGCAATGAGCCGAGATCGCACCATCGCACTCTAGCGTGGGCAACAAGAGTGAAACTGTCTCAAAAAAATAAATAAAATAAATGAATAAATATTCCACCGCATGATTATGCCACATTTTACTTATCTGTTTAACTGCTGATAGATTTTTTGCTTTGATATTACAATTTTTAGTCATCTGATTTTTCAAAAGTTTTTTTTCTTTTTTAACAATATTAGAGGTCATATATTTTATAAGTTTTCAAACACATTTTTTATATGGGAATATAACAAAGAGAGCCTGTGTACCTGTACCCTTTACTTAGTTTCTTCTAATGTTATCATTATTAGTGTGGTACATTTGCACAACTAAGAAGCCAACATTGGTACATTAGTATTAACTAAACCCCAGACTTCATTCAGGCTTTTGCAGTTTTTCCATTGGTGCTATTTTTTTAATCCCGGGATCTAATATGGAGTATGATTCCTAGATTTAGCTGTCTTGTCTCCTTAGTTTCTTCTGGTCCATGAGAGTTTCTCAGCCTTTCCTTTTTTTTTCATGATCTTGACTATTTTTTATTTTTGAGATGGAATTTTGCTCTTGTTCCCTAGGCTGTAGTGCAATGGCTCGATCTTGTCTCACTGCAGCCTCTGCTTCCTTGGTTCAAGCAATTATCTCACCTCATCCTCCCAACTGGCTGGGATTACAGGCGCCCCCACCACGCCCAGCTAATTTTTGTATTTTTAGTAGAGACGGGATTTTACCATGTTGGCCAGGCTGGTCTCAAACTCCCGACCTCTGGTGATCTGCCCGCCTTGGCTTCCTAAAGTCCTGGGATTACAGGCATGAGCCACTGTGCTCAGCCATCTTGACTATTTTGAGGAGTACTGGTAAAGTATTTTGAAGAATATTCTTCAATTTAAGTGTGTCTTACATTTCTCTCTTGGTTAGACTGGGATTATGGGATTTTGGAAAGAATACTACTGAGGTCAAGTACCCTTCTCATAACAGCATATGTGGGGTGTGTATAGTCACATGATACTGCTAGTAATGATAGTCTTCACCCCTTGGTTAAGCTTGTGTTTGCCATGTTTCACCCCTGCAGGCTTGCTAGTTTTTAGTCATTAATTCTACCCCAACCTCACAACAGGGAAGGAGGAGGATTAAGCTCTACCTTCTGATAGGAGGAAGGCATCTAAATATATTACCTAGAATTCTTCTGTTGGGAAGAGTTGTATCTTCTCCTCATTTATTTATTTATTCAATCCTTTATTTATGGGCTCATTTATACTTGAGTTATAATCTGAATCATTTATAAAAAAAATTTCATCTTTTAGAATCAGGGGCTATATGTGCAGGTTTGTTACTAGGGTGCATTTTCTAATGCTGATGTTTGGGGTATGACTGATCTTGTCACCTAGGTACTGAGTATAGTAATCAATAGCTTTTCAATCCTTGCCCACTCCCTCCCTCTCCCCTCTAGTAGTGGCCATTGTCTGTTG